GATGGATGGATGGATGGATGGATTTTGTCCTGCATTAAAAAGAAGTAAGAACCATATTCTGATAATTATGCATGTCTTTTTTAACCACACCTGAGTACTGATGGGTATTTTGCCGACACATAACCAAACTGTTGCTCGAACAACCGCCTCCTGTGGCACCACGGAGGCAGGAATCAGACACTTCAGCACCCGCGCACATGGAACAGTCCCTACAAAGATGTAAAACAAACACATTAATATATGATGCAAATGTTTTACAAGAGTTCCTGTTATTCACAAAGGGTTTCCCTACAACATATAAATCCATTGGTAAACCTCCAAAGACATAACGGCTGAGTGAGTTTGGTTTTAATGTTTAATTCTGATGATTTTGCTCAAATAAGATTGTTTTGCAACTTCGTTCAGATTAATGTGACCGCCATTAGACTCCAGTGTGAACCGTTCACAGCCCTGGAGCGACGTCACACACAGCACTCTGATGCTACGTTAGCGTGCTTAGCTTGGATCGATTCTGTAGTTATTGTGCAACCGGGATGACAAAATTATTTTCTGCTGCGCTTGTTCCTTTCAGTATTTCCATCTGATCTAGCCACTTCCTGCCTACTAAAAACAAACAAAGCAAATCAACTGACTGGACATAGAACAGAAAAATAAAGTTGATATCAATTACATCAACATCTGGATCGATCAGTATACCTCTACCTGAATGACGGAAAAGTCGGATGAAACATGACACGACCGATCTGACACTTTAAAAACATCTGATATGAATCTGATTTTGTGCCACAGAAGGGAAAAACCATTTGTCACATTTAGACTGTTATAAAAAAAATCCAATAAGAAAATAAAATAACCTAAATAAATGTGTCCCTTTTGTCAATCCCATGTGTACACATAAAGAAAACAACAAAGACTTAAAAAACTCTACAATTTAAGGATGAAATATAAGGTTTATCACACAGCTTCCACTCACAACTTTAGCCACTATTTCTGCTAGAACTCCCCTTAACCCCCGTAAAACCCGGTGGATGGTCTTACCCATACGGAGACTCATGGAAAACTCCAACATGACAGAAATGGCCTCTGGGGAAAGTCCTCTGCTGTAGGCCACCCTCTCCACCTGGACCAGGTTATTCTCAAACTCATCRTTCCCGTACACAGGAGTGCCTGCTTCCACTGAGAGGAGAGAGAAGGAAGGACATGACATGACCCAACATGGGCCCAGTACAGATTGTTGACCCCATCCGTGTCGACCAAGGACATGAAAACTAAAAAAAGCTCCCAGTTTGAGTTCCATCAGATCTTTGCTTGTTTTAGTTGGTTTCTAGTTTATTTTATTAGGATTTTGAATCAAATTTTCTTAATTCAGTGTTTTGCTCTAACAAGGTCGATTCGGGCCTCTGGACAGGTTCTTCTCTGCAAAAAGAAAAAAATTGTATAGGTCCTCTGGACGGGTTCTTCTCTAATGAAACATTTCGTCTCTCCTCCAAGAGACTTCTTCAGTCTGAGAGTTTCAGGCAAAATTCAGGCTTTTAAGCTCTGCCTCCATGTGACTGATACTCACATCACATGTGCCATCACAAGTGTGCCAACTCCTCAAACTGTGCCTGGAGTCAACC